ATTCATAGTCAATAGCATCGAATAGATGTTCAGTTAGGTCATAGAGACCGCCAAAATAGTTTAAATCTAATTCGCCTCTGTATCGCATATACAACCTATGATCTAACCGTCCATTCTTTGGTTGATTCAAATAGTCTGTTTCGTTAGACCATCCGTTTAGTCCTTTTACTGTAATAAGCTGACCATTTGGACCTCGACGGCCAAAACAAACAACCGATTCCTTGTTTCTACCGAATCGCCGATAGGCTAAACCCATTGTAAACACTTGTCGGGTGAGTATTTGAGGATCGGTTTGAATCCATTGGCCATTCTGTTCGTCGTAGCATTCGTTTCTGATGGTCGGATAGATAGCCGTCAGACTAGTCTGGCGATACACTTGAAACACGTGTTTCGGGCCAGTGTTAGGATAGTCAGGATTGGCATAGAAGTAGACACGTAAGTGCATCAAATTGCCGTAAGCGCTACAGAATACATGTTCGCCCAGTTGTTTGCGGGCCGATCGCCGAAAGTATTGTTGTTCAACACTTTCAGTGTCACCTTCACCGTACATACGTTGGCGTGAGTACTCATTTGCAAACAGTTGTCTATTATCGGGATTACCGCGAATTAGACCCATCAACAGTGTCGATGTCAGCGATTGATAGAACCAACAGATTTTCGGATGACCGGCACCGCCGCCGCCGCTCGAACCGGCCGTATACTGGGTTGACCCTCCAAATGGCCCCAAGTATTACGAAAACGGTCGGTCATTTGTGACGGATAGTTAACCCGTGGCCAGTATATAGCTGTTCCTATTAGTAGTTTTGGTAATATTTGTATATTGGATTTCATGGCTAAACTCAATTGAAACGTATCGTTATTAGATTCAAATCTACGTTTGATGTATACACCGAATATCCGATGATAGGCCGACAGTGTCCAGAATTTACTTTGTCTACCCTTTTGTCTGCCCGTAGGATCTGATTGGTGGTCTTCGGCTTCAGTATAGGCTTTGTTGTTGTTGTTGTTGGTATCGATAACATAGTAGGTCTCGCGGGCATATAAAAGCGTTTCCGTGCCTTTATTGTAATAGTTTGACAGCCAATTGTCGGTCATATTGCCAATTGTTTCTAATAGTCGATGGGGTGGGTTTTGTGGTGGTGATGGTCGATAACTTTGGTTACTAATGTGGCCAACTGATGGTCAATACTAACTCTAGGATTAGGAAGTGATAGTAGATGTAGACTCTCTATGTGTCTGTTTGTGATTTGGAGTTGTTTTTCTAAATATCTTATTGATTGGTATGTGTTTAATAAACAACTAGAGGAATGGTATGTAATATAGGAATTGATATGTGTGTTGTGTGTTGTGTGTTGTGTGTTGTGTGTTGTGTGTTGTGTGTTGTGTGTTGTGTGTTGTGTGTTGTGTGTTGTGTGTTGTGTTTAATAAACAACTAGAGGAATGGTATGCAATATTAAGGTATTGGTATTAAATCTGACGGTTGGTTTTTTAGACGTTTAACGATTCAAATTTTTTTTAATAAATAATTGTTTAAAATTTTTTTAACTATTATAACAATTAAATACTAACAATAACAACAACAAAAAATAATTAAAAAATAAATATTTTTATCGAATTATTTAATTTTCAACTATTTATTGGATAAAAAACAAAATTAGTTTTTTCTTAATTTTTCAATAGTCCGATACTATTGTGTCGATGGACATCTGTTTTGGGCATCAATCTAAATGTTTACCCCCACCTCCAGCCCTTGGGTACTAAATAATACAGTTGTATTAAAACTTTTTAAGTAAAAAAAAACAATTATTTAAGTATTTATATGATAAATTAAAATTACAATGAATTAATAATTTGTTTGTTTCTTATTTATTAATACTTAATTTATAAAAATAATTTTGATTTACAATTTGAAATAATAATAATTTCTACCAATAATTAATTTATTGTTTTGTTTGACTACTGAACACTCATACAAACCATCCACCAGTGCTGGCGAATGGAGTATCAAAGATACGGCCGCTTTAGGAACAGTTGAGCCAATTCATAGTCTTTTCTCCATTGAAATGGATTGGTTTGCGGTGAAAAATTGCCGATTTCTGACCGAATGTTGACTTGAATTGGCTGATCGTTTTCAAACTCAGTGAACTCATAGTAAACGCTTAGGACTTTACCGATATGTTGCGGGTTGTTTGCTGGCGACCATTTGCGATAGTAGTGTCCATCGACTCCCAGCCGATAGTCTTCGCGATTCATTAGCTGATGTTTGTCGACAAACGGATTGTCCAAACATTTCCATTCGTATTCATTGAACTCGGCTTTTGTTTCTCTTAACTTTAACATTACTTTCGGATTTATGTAATTAGTATTGATATAAGTTTTGCCGCCAACCGTACTATAGGTTTGCTTATCGATGTCATACTTTTTGAAGACTGTCAGCAAATTGCATTTGATTTCTTCGACACCCGAATCTAACTGAGCATAGATTAGTAGTTTTTGTGGCAAATAAAACAGCCGATGACTACCATCCGGATCAGTAATCTTGACCGGTGGATAAGCGGGCGGCGCTGAGTTGCAATAACTATCGGCCAATTGTCTGTCGACGTGTTGGCCAACAAATTGCCTAAAGTTGAACTCTTTTGGCCAAACAATGTGGTCTCTGGGCTCCATATTCGGATTTTTTTAACCAGTTTTTGTACAGTTGTTTGTATGCTTCACGGATCTCATTTGTATAGATATTGATAGACAGTTGACGTCCGGCCGGATGTTTTGCACTGGTATTCAATATAATTTTGTTGAGCCAATCACCTACTTGTGGCGGCAATTGAAAATCTTGTGGACGTCTGTATCTGACTGATTGAGGCGTCTGATGTCTGACAATCGCCCGATGCAATTGTTCGTATTGATGTCGGTACCTGATTTCGTCCATACCGTCCCTCCATTCCTCGACTGCCACTATATAGCCGCCTTCGGGTACAGACAAAACACATTGGCGACCATATGTCACCTGAAATTCTTGTTTTGCTCGGTTATAATCTTTAATCGTTTTGGTGGCTCTTTTTTCAATCATCAGACACCAGGCACTGGTATTGTAGTCGGACTCGTGTGCGCCTAAAAACACGACCGGATTTTCATAATCCATGACCTTTTGTTTCATTGACTCGTCTTTGATAAATGTCTGACAAAACATTTTCCAATTCATTTTATTTCTTTTGTCTGTCATTTGTTCTTCAATATCTTTGCCCTGATAGTATGGGATATTCATATTGAGTTGGTCTTCAACAATGACAACTGATCCCTGTTCAAACAGGGAACGATTGTGATGATGATTATCTATATATTGATTATAGCTGTCTAAAACAACTAGTTTGGCACCGGTACACAAGTATAGGGCAAACCTTGGTTGGTTAGGAATTGGATGACCAGATTTTCCGCTATATTCACAATCAATTTCATCGAATTGTCGTTCAGTTAGATCATAGACACCGCCAAAATTGTTTAATTGCAATTCGTTTTGGGATCGGATATACATCCGATGATCTAACCGTCCATCCTTTGGTTGATTCAAATAGTCTGTATCATAAGACCATCCGTTTAGATTTTTTTCTGCAATTGGCTGACCATTTCGACCTTTACGTAGAAAACAAACTACCGATTCGTTGTTTCTGCCGAACCGCCGATAGGCTAAACCCATTGCAAACACTTGTCGGGTCAGGAGTTGAGGATTGGTTTCAATCCATTGCCAATTCAAATCTTCGTACCATTCGTTTCTGATGGTCGGATAGATGGCCGTCAGACTGGTCTGGGGAAACACATTGAACACATATTCAGGGCCTTTGTTAGGATAATCAGGATTGGCATAGAAGAAGACACGTAAGTGCATCAAAGTGCCGTAAGCCGAACAAAATACATGTTCGCCCAGTTGTTTGCGGGCCGATCGCCGAAAGTATTGTTGTTCAACAGTTTCTTGATTTTTTTCGCTGTACATACGTTTGATTAAATACTCATTTGCAAATTGTTGACTATTAGCGGGATTACCCCGAACCAGACCCATCAACAGTGTCGATGTAATCGATTGATAGAACCAACAGTTAGCCGGCCGATGAACTCCGCCGCCGGTAATACCGTCCATAAATCTTGTTGACTCTATAGTACCCGAATCAGTCAGAAAATTTAATGTCATACGTGACGGATAGTTAACCACTGGCCAGTAAATAGCGAACCCTATGTTAAAGTTTTGTAATACTCTTTGATTGGATTGCATGAATGCGGCCAATTGAGATGCATTGGTTTTCGGATCAAATTTACGTTTGATGTATAGACCGAATACCCGATGATAGGCCGACAGTGTCAAAAATTTACTTCGTCTACCCCTTTGGCTACCCGTAGGATCTGTTTGTCTGTCTTCGGCTTCACTATAGGCTATGTTGTTGTTGTTGGTGTCGATAATATAGTAGGTCTCGCGGGCATAGATAGCCGTTTCCATGCCTTTGTTGTAATAGTTTGACAGCCAATTGTCGGTCATATTGCCAATTGTTTCTAATATTCGATGGGGTGGGGTTTGTGGTGGTGATGGTCGATAACTTTGATTACTAATGTGGCCAACTGATGGTCAATACTAACTATAGGATTAGGAAGTGATAGTAGATGTAGACTCTCTATGTATCTGTTTGTGATTTGCAGTTGTTTTACTAAATATCTTATTGATTGGTATGTGTTTAATAAACAACTAGAGGAATGGTATGTAATATAGGAATTGATATTAAATCTGACGGTTGGTTTTTTTTATACTTTTAACGATTTAAATTTTTCAATAAATAAATAATTGTCTTCAAATTTTTTACTATTATAACAATTAAATAATAACAATAACAACAACAAAAAATCAATTAAAAAATAAATATTTTTATCGCATTATTTAATTTTCAGGTATTTATTGGATTAAAAAAACAAAATTATTTATTTTATTAATTTTTCAATAGTGCGATACTATTGTGGCGATGGACGGGTGTTTTGGGCATCAATCTAAATGATTACCCCCAACTACAGTTGTATTAATACTTTTTAAATAAAATAAAACAATTATTTAGGTATTTCTATAATATATTGTTATCAATAAATTAATAATTTGTATGTTTCTCATTTATTAATACTTTATTTAATTTTTTTAAAAATATTTTTGATATACTATTTGAAATTAACTTGAAATTGTTTTGATTGACTACTTGTTTGTATGAGACAACAACAAAAAAACATTCATACAAACCATGGACCTGTGCTCGTAAATGGAGTTTCAATTGAAAAGAAATGGCCGTTTTTGGAACAGTTGATCCAATTCATAGTCTTTTCTCCATCGAAATGGATTGGTTTGCGGTAAAAAATTGCCGCTTTTTGACTGAATGTTGACCTGAATTGGCCGATCGGTTCCAAACTCAGTGAACTCATAGTAAACGCTTAGGACTTTACCGATATGTTGCGTGTTGTTTGCTGGCGACCATTTGTGATAGTAGTGTCCATCGACTCCCAGCCGATACTCTTCGCGATTCAATAGCTGATGTTTGTCGACAAACGGATTGTCCAACCATTTCCATTGATATTCATTGAACTCGGCTTTTGTTTTTATTAATTTTAATATTACTTTCGGGTTATTAGTATTGATATGAGTTTTGCCGCCAACTGTACAATAGGTTTGCTTATCGAAGTCATACTTTTTGAAGACTGTCAACAAATTGCATTTGATTTGTTCGACACCCGAATCTAACTGAGCGTCGAATAGAAGTTTTTGTGGCAAATAAAACAGCCGATGACTGCCATCCGGATCGGTAACCTTGACCGGTGGATAGGCGGGCGACACTGATTTGCAGTAACTATCGGCCAATTGTCTGTCGACATGTTGGCCAACAAATTGCCTAAAGTTGAACTCTTTTGGCCGAATAACATGATCTTTGAAAATTATATAAGGCGTCGATAACCGTTCGTACAGTTGTCTGTATGCTTCACGGATCTCATTTGTATAGATACTAATTGACAGTTGACGTCCGGCCGGATGTTTTGCACTGGTATTCAATATAATTTTGTTGAGCCAATCACCTACTTGTGGCGGCAATCGAAAATTTCGTGGACGAATATATATGATTGAATGAGGCATCTGATGTCTGACAATCGCCCGATGCAACTGTTCGTAACGGTGTCGGTACCAGATTTCGTCCATACCGTCCCTCCATTCCTCGACTGCCATTATATAGCCGCCTTCGGGTACCTCCAAAACACATTGGCGACCATATGTCACCTGAAATTCTTTTTTTGATCGGTTAAAATCGGTAACCGTTTCGGTGGCTCTTTTTTCAATTAGCAGACACCAGGCACTGGTATTGTAGTCGGATTCGTGTGCGCCTAAAAACACGACCGGATTTTCATAATCCATCACTTTTTGTTTCATTGACTCGTCTTTGATAAATGTCTGGCAAAACATTTTCCAATCCATTAGTTGTCTTATATCCTTCAGAAATACGGCACTATCATCGCACTGATCGTATGGGATATTCATATGGAGTTGGTCTTCGACAATAACAACTGATCCCTGTTCAAACAGACTGCGATTGTGTGAATCATTATCTACATACTCATTATAGCTGTCTATAACAACCATTTGACACTGATGTCTGACAATCGCCCGATGCAACTGTCTGTACCAGATTTCCTCCATACCGTCCATCCAATCCTCAACTGCCACTATATAGCCGCCTTCGGGTACCTCCAAAACACATTGGCGACCATATGTTACCTGAAATAGTTATTGCGATCGGTTAAAATCGGTAACCGTTTCGGTGGCTTTTTTCTCAATCAACAAACCCCAGGCACTGGTATTGTAGTCGGATTCGTGTGCGCCTAAAAATACGACCGGATTTTCATAATCCATCACTTTTTGTTTGATTGACTCGTCGGTGATAAATGTCTGGCAAAACATTTTCCAATGTCAGTATCGTCGCACTGATCGTATGGTATAGTCATATAGAGCTGGTCTTCGACAATAACAACTGATCCCTGTTCAAACAGACTGCGATTGTGTGAATCATTATCTACATACTCATTATAGCTGTCTATAATAACCAGTTTGGCACCGGCACACAAGTATAGGGCAAACCTTGTTTGCTTAGGTATTGGATGACCAGATTTTCCGCTATATTCATAATCAATTTCATCGAATTGTCGTTCAGTTAGTTCATAGACACCGCCAAAATTGTTTAATTGCAATTCGGGATTGGATCGGATATATATCCGATGATCTAACCGTCCATCTTTTGGTTCGTTCAGATAGTCTGTATCATAAGACCATCCGTTTAGATCATCTACTGGAATTAGCTCAGGATTAGTACCAATACGGCCATAACAAACTACCGATTCGTTGTTTCTACCGAACCGCCGATAAGCTAAACCCATTGTAAACCCGTTGTCGGGACAGGTATTGAGGATTGGTTTCAGTCCATTGTCCATTCACTAGATCGTACCATTCGTTTCTGATGGTCGGATAGATGGCCGTCAGACTAGCCTTGGGAAACACTTGAAACACGTGTTGGGGCTTATCAGTGTTGTTTGGATGATAGCCAGGATTGGCATAGAAGAAGACACGTAAGTTCATCAAATTGCCGTAAGCGGTACAGAATACGTGATGACCCAGTTGTTTGCGGGCCGATCGACGAAAGTATTGTTGTTCAACAAAATCTGGCCGCCATTCGTCATTACTTTCGCCGAACATTGGCCAACTTTTGTATTCACTATCAAACAGTTGGCTATCAGCCGGATTGCCCCGAACCTTACCCAACACCAGTGTCGATGTAATCGATTGATAGAACCAACAGATAATCGGCCGGCCAACTCCGCCGCCGCTAATACCATCCATATATCTTGTCGACTCTTGATTACCCAAATAATTGAGAAAATTATTTGCCATACGTGACGGATAGTTAACCACTGGCCAGTAAATAGCGAACCCTATGTCAAACTTTGGTAATACTCTTTGATTGGATTGCATGATTGCAATCAATTCGCATTCATTGGTTTTCGGATCAAATCTACGTTTGATGTATAGACCGAATACCCGATGATAGGCCGACAGTGTCGAGAATTTACTTTGTCTACCTTTTAGGCTACCCGTAGGATCTGTTTGTCTGTCTTCGGCTTCACTATAGGCTGTGTTGTTGTTGTTGGTATCGATAACATAGTAGGTCTCGCGGGCATAGATAGCCGTTTCCTTGCGTTTGTTGTAATAGTTTGACAGCCAAAAGTCGGTCATATTGCCAATTGTTTCTAATAGTCGATGCGGGTGGTCAGGGAGGGGGAGTAGAGCTGATCGGATAAGTCACTTGTGTGGCAAAACTGATGGTCAACACTAACACTAGGATTAGGATGTGACAGTAGATGTAGACTCTCTATGTGTCTGTTTATGTATTTGCAGTTGTTTTTCTGGCTGATTTTTTTCAACAGATAATTGTTAATTATGAATATATCCATCAAAATTATTGCGCGGAAACACCTCCTACTAAAATCTAATCTAAATACCTGAGCTCTCATAACATAATTCTACACTAATTATAAATAAAATAATATTAAACAAACATAAAGCGCGTGAATATAATTAACATTTATAACATTGATAATAAAATAGTATTATTGTCATTTCTTTATAATACTTTTAAAAACACTAGTTGTCCATGCGGAACATATAACCATCTAATTTTATAGAATTTATAAATTAATTGAACCACAATAATAATGATTTTAAAACATAAATCGAATATATGAATGTTATTTAACGTGACAAACACTGATTCCGTAACCCAAGTACTGTATAGATTAGGTTAGGTTACCATTGAAAATTAGGTTAGGTTGCGGATCGAACACCAGGTTAGGTAACGCGACAAACACTGATTCCGTAACCCAAGTACTGTATAAATTAGGTTAGGTTACCATTGAAAATTAGGTTAGGTTGCGGTTCGAACACCAGGTTAGGTAACGCGACAAACACTGATTCCGTAACCCAAGTACTGTATAAATTAGGTTAGGTTACCATTGAAAATTAGGTTAGGTTGCGGATCGAACGCCAGGTTAGGTAACGCGACAAACACTGATTCCGTAAACCAAGTACTGTATAAATTAGGTTAGGTTACCATTGAAAATTAGGTTAGGTTGCGGATCGAACACCAGGTTAGGTAACGCGACAAACACTGATTCCGTAACCCAAGTACTGTATAAATTAGGTTAGGTTACCATTGAAAATTAGGTTAGGTTGCGGATCGAACACCAGGTTAGGTAACGCGACAAACACTGATTCCGTAACCCAAGTACTGTATAAATTAGGTTAGGTTACCATTGAAAATTAGGTTAGGTTGCGGTTCGAACACCAGGTTAGGTAACGCGACAAACACTGATTCCGTAACCCAAGTACTGTATAAATTAGGTTAGGTTACCATTGAAAATTAGGTTAGGTTGCGGATCGAACACCAGGTTAGGTAACGCGACAAACACTGATTCCGTAACCCAAGTACTGTATAAATTAGGTTAGGTTAGGTTAGGTTCAAAATTGAAATAACATTGCTTTAAATTAAAATTGAAAATATATCAATAATTTTTTGGGTTTGTATTAAAATATTGTTTTTGAGGAAATGTGACAGACATACAAAAATCCAGAGATTATTATCTTAAAGTATTATCTTGATAGTCATTGACAACAATATTATTTTATTAGTTATTATAAATGTTTATATAGATCTCGCGCTTTACAATTGATTAATATTAACTTTTTTATAATTAGTGTATAATTATGTTATGAGAGCTCAGGTATTTAAATTAGATTTTAGTTGGGATTTAGGTGTTTCCGCGCAATAATTTTGATGGATATATGTTTATTAGGTACTAATTAACTAATTTCTGTTGAAAAAAATCAATTTTTTCTAATGTGCGTAAACTCCGGATAGGCCGTTTTTCTAAATATCTGATTGATTGGTATGTACTGTATGTGTCTGGTGTTTAATAAAAACAATTAGAGGAATGGTATGTAATGTGAAATGGTATTCAATATGACGGTTGGTTTTATTGGACTTTTAACTGTAATAACGATTTTTTTTTTAAATTTTTATTTTTAAAAATTATTTTCATATATTTACTGTTATAACAATTAAATAATAACACTAACAAAAATCAATTAAAAAATCAATATTTTAATAGTATTATTATTTAATTTTCAACTATTTATTGGATTAAAAACAAAATTAGTTTTTTCTTAATTTTTCAATAGTCCGATACTATTGTGTCGATGGACAGGTGTTTTGGGCATCAATCTAAATGATTACCCCCAACTCCAGCCCTTGGGTACTAAATAATACAGTTGTATTAAAACTTTTTAAATAAAAAAAACTAAAGTATTTATATGAAATATTTTTATCAATTAATTAGTTAATAATTTGTTTGTTTCTTATTTATGAATACTTTATTTAATTTAAAAAAAAAAAAATTGATTTACAATTTGAAATAATAATAATTTCTACCAATAATTAATTTATTGTTTTGTTTGACTACTTGTTTGTATGAGACATATCATTCAACAACAAAAAAAAAACATTCATACAAACCATCTACCAGTGCTGACGAATGGAGTTTCAAAGATACGGCCGTTTTTGAAACAGTCGAACCAATTCATTGTCTTTTCTCCATCGAAACGGATTGGTTTGCGGTAAAAAATTGCCGCTTTCTGACTGAATGTTGACCTGAATTGGCCGATCGGTTCCAAACTCAGTGAACTCATAGTAAACGCTTAGGACTTTACCGATATGTTGCGGGTTGTTTGCTGGCGACCATTTGCGATAGTAGTGTCCATCGACTCCCAGCCGATAGTCTTCGCGATTCATTAGCTGATGTTTGTCGACAAACGGATTGTCCAACCATTTCCATTCGTATTCATTGAACTCGGCTTTTGTTTGTATTAATTTTAATATTACTTTCGGGTTATTAGTATTGATATGAGTTTTGCCGCCAACCGTACTATAGGTTTGTCTATCGATTTCATACTTTTTGAAGACTGTCAACAAATTGCATTTGATTCGTTCGGTACCCGAATCTAACTGAGCATCGATTAGAAGTTTTTGTGGCAAATAAAACAGCCGATGACTGCCATCCAGATCGGTAATCTTGACCGGTGGATAAGCGGGCGACGCTGATTTACAGTAACTATTGGCCAATTGACTGTCGACATGTTGGCCAACAAATTGCCTAAAGTTGAACTCTTTTGGCCAAACAATGTGGTCTCTGGGCTCCATATTCGGCTTTTTTAAATATTTTTTGTACAGTTGTTTGTATGCTTCACTGATCTCATTTGTATAGATTTTGATAGGCAGTTGACGTCCGGCCGGATGTTTTGCACTGGTATTCAATATAATTTTGTTGAGCCAATCACCTACTTGTGGCGGCAATTGAAAATCTTGTGGATTAATGTATCTGATTGATTGAGGCGTCTGATGTTTGACAATCGCCCGATGCAACTGTTCGTATTGGTGTCGGTACCAGATTTCGTCCATACCGTCCCTCCATTCTTCGACTGCTACTATATAGCCGCCTTCGGGTACCTCCAAAACACATTGGCGACCATATGTGACCTGAAATCTTTGTTGTGATCGGTCAAAATCGGTAACCTTTTCGGTGGCTAGTTTTTCAATCACCAAACCC